TCCCTGGTTATTTATTTTGATGTTCTATTTAGTGCATTCTGCATGGCCTTCACAGCGCCAGGCTTTCCTGTGCTGCAAATGTTGTTACTGACCATTTGTAATGATCTCAGGAAGTTATCTTGAGGAAAGCTGCAAAAATTAGCAGCTGGCGAAGGAGTAGCTGAGGATGGGGCACAGTAGAAGCATCCAAGTCAGCCGGAGACCACACCATTAGTACATGTGGTTGATAGATGGTTCTACTGAATGCATCAGAAGCCCTGACATCCACCTGGTAATCATTAGGTTCCAGAGTTAATCTGATGTTGCTGTAACAAAACCTTCCAGAGCTGCCAGGGTGGCTACCGGCTCAGGCATACCTCACACATTTACTCAGTTTGGATTTCTGTGGCTTCCTCTGCTTACTTCACTTCTCTAACACATTTATCTATTTGGAGTGCGCTATTGAGGTAGGGGATGAATCCCATAAAAAAAAGTGTAGCTGCCACATCACAAAGATCGTGGTACATGCCATATTTTCCAGTTATCTCAAGCAAGCCCCAAGGTGAGGCCACCTGAATTCCCTGTGATGAATGGGGAAACATGACTTGCTGGGCTGTCAGAAACCTGGCTGTGTCCACGGTGAGGGTGTCAAAGTGTCTGCATTAAAATCTCTCCCTTCTGAGTGCAGAAAAGCGCTCCTCCTGAGACAGAGTGTGGCTTAGATATGGCTTCTCTCCTCCTCCCGTCCCTCTGTGGCCTGCTGACTCTTGGAATGGTTCCCACACGTCCTTCTCCCTTTGCAGGTCCCCACGACTCCAGCTGCAATTAGATCTGTGGTCTTCAGAGTTACTCTGAGATCCTGCAGGAGTGGGGAAAGTGCTGGGAAAAAAAGTGATGTTATATTATCATCATCAGCAGCAGCACACTGAAAGTTGCAGCTGCTTTCCTTTTGTCTATTAAAATTATTTCCATGTTTCGTGCACAGGAAGCAGAGGAAAAAGTTGCATGACCGCCTTCGGCAGAGCCTGCGCTCGGAAAGGAACAATGTGATGAACATAGCCAACGGGCCGCACCACCCCAACCCGCCGCCAGATAACGTCCAGCTGGTTAATGTAGGTTTTACTGCCCGTGTTTCAGCCTAGGCTGCCAGTGCCACAGCACAGCTTGCCCTGTAGCTTTTAAACTTCTACCTGCTGCAGGATGGTGATGGAATTCTCTTGGCTTTCTCCACCTAGAAACAATTAGGGACTTTGCAAAAAATATGCAGCAAAATGAGATATGTTTCTGCAGATGGCCAGTTCTGCCTATGGATCTAGGACACCAAAAGCAAGAAAAACACCTCAGAAATAAACACCTCAGAAAAAAATACCATGGCTCTATAGCAGGGCTAAGTGCTGTAGGGATCAGTTTCTTCACACTCATATGTCTTGCTCTTCCTACTGCACTTGGCCTGATGGCTGGTGAGTAGGGACAGCCCCCTCAGATCAGAAAAGTGACATTATGAACTCGAGGGTAAAAGTCTGAATGAAAACCTCACCTGGACAGTAGCAGTGGCCTGGGGAGACAGGGCTGGGGCAGATACTTCACCAGCATCCCCCAGCCATTTGTCAGACCGAAACAGGGAGCTAACCCCTTGACAAATCCCCTTGGCCTTAGAGGCCAGCTTATGCTTCCTGTAGCCACTTCTTCCTCTCCTCCCGTTCCTAGGGAAGCCTGGTGCCCAGAGGGTGGCCCTGCCACCTCGAGCCATCCCCACTGTCCTACTCCACCATCACTGTACATGTTCATGACAGCTCATCACCGAGGTGTGCCCTGGCTCTGCTAAGTCAATGGTAGTGCTCCCACTGACCTTGGTTAAGGCCAAGACACATTTTCAGAAGTGCTCAGCTTCCAATATTTCTCCTCAAAAGACCTAAATCCATGGTTGGATTATTAAAAGAGGGAAAACCAGGAGTTCCTGTTGAGGAGAATGGAGAGTCCTTCCAGCAACAGCCTTAGTGGGGGGCTCCAGATGAAAGCTGTGCAGGAGGATGAGCACTGCACAGCTCCAGCGCTGCCTCAGAAGGCTTTGGCCCATTCTGTAGATCATCCCCTGTTGAACCGGTCTACCCTGGTGCTACATACATGGACACTGAAAATAGCCATTTCCTGCCTAGATTCTTATCGTGCAATGAACTACTACTGCTAACTACTGCTGTCTTCTCCATCAGAGAACAGTATTTTTGATGTATCTGGTAATAAAGGGGGGAGTTGCCTTTCCAGGTCTCTTATCCATGAGGACTGCTCATTCCCTTATTAAATATATATGTTGTTTATAGCCTGACTGGGATGCAGACCTTTACTAATTTCCTCATTTGTTTCCTCCTACTTTAAGTTTAGATGGGGTATATGTTCAGAGGTGTACATGAATATGCTCAAGTGTGTCAGTGTGGTTAAAGTTTGTGCTTTGGAATGTGTGAAAACCTGTGACTTGGGGGAGAGAGGGAAGGGATTGGAAATTATGTCTGCAAATGTGCTGTGAGTTACAGTTTGCAAACTGGAGGTCTGTCTGGTTTTTTTCAGCAGTACATTTCAAAAAACATAATCTCCAGTGAGCATGTCATCGAGCGAGAAACAGAGACCTCATTTTCTACAAGCCACTACACCTCAACAACACATCACTCAGTGACAGTCACCCAGACACCCAGCCACAGGTACTGGAGGGGGAAGGCAAATAGCACTGCAGTATCCGATCTGTTGCTGTTGCAAAACTAAAAAGATGTGTAAAAAAACAAACCCAGAAAAATCTATGCTCCCTTGGTTGTGTTTTCATTTTAAGATTAACAGTATTTGATGTCATGCCACCTAAGTAAGTATCTTTCCAGGAATTTACAAAGAGCTTTATTGACTCAATGGCATTCCAGTACTGTTACAGTGAATTTTGGTATATGCAAATTGCTAAATCAGTGACAGTCTTGGTGACTGGAAGCCCTTCTCCTTTTATCCACACATGCAAAATCACCTTGATGCATGTGGATTCATACAATTCACAAACCTCTGCAGCCCTAGTTACCAACCCGAAGGTCATGCTGCACATCCCAAGTGGCAACAGAGCCCTTCCTTTCCCCTGGCTAAACTTCTGCTCATCTGCATTTGCTACCGAAGCACCCTCTCACACTCCTCTCCCTTCTTCTCCTTTCCTGGTTGCTGATCTCCAGCTGGAGTAATGGCCACACCGAAAGCATCCTCTCTGAAAGCCACTCAGTGCTCGTCAGCTCCTCCATGGAGAACAGCCGGCACACCAGCCCAGCGGGGCCCCGGGGCCGCCTCAATGGCATTGGCGGGCCACGGGAAGGCAACAGCTTCCTCAGGCACGCAAGAGAGACTCCTGACTCCTACCGAGACTCTCCTCACAGTGAAAGGTAGGACACACCACCTCATTGCTTTCAGCTGGCAAGGCCCGGTGTTCCCAGATCATTTCCAAGCTTGGGAGCACAGGAGTGAACCCAGCAGTGCAACAGCTGTTCATGTGGAGTGTACATTTCTTCATTCGTAAAGGGAGAGCTTGGTAGTAGTTTAAGGTCTACCAAAAGCATTTCTTCCCTTCTTACCTCTGCTGGATTTATTCCTAATAGCCAGCAGTTCACATTTGGATAAGCTCCACTGAAGTAATTTGTCAGAAATTTCCATTGTAAAGTTAAAACAGATCTTTGCCTAATTATCCGTTTCTTAGAAGAAGCAAATGAGAAAACTGAGGAATTTTGTGACACACAAAAGGTGGGGAGAAGGCAATGTTTTGATCCATAGAAGGAGGGCACTAAGGACTCCTAAGCAGTATAGGAATTGTGCTGCCACCTAGTTTCTGGGGGATTCCAGCTCCTAAACCTGTTATCGCCTTTGAAAATTCCCTTTGACACTTTATTAAATAAAAGCAATGAACACAAAGTGCAAGCCAGAAGAATCTAGGTCATTATTAAATCAGGACTAGTTAGAAATAAAGCTGGCCAGGAGTTTTTCCAACAAAGTAATTTTCTCTCTGAAAAGGCTGGTTCATCAGTGCCTACAGTCTGCCTTGAAGTGCATCAGTTGCAATAAAACTTTTACTGAAAATTCTTCTCAGCTTTAGGCTAGGATTTTATCTCAAGAGCCATCCCAGCCCCAGAGTAGCAAAAGACAGACTGAGAAGAAACAAGACATTTAAAGAGAGCTTTGCTCCCAACAATCAAAGGCAGAAGAAAAGGAAAACAAAGGGTTACTGGACCAATTCTCTGAGCATTGTGAAATCACAAGGGGTTTGATCTCATGGGATGTCTGTGATGTAAAAAATGCAGCCAGGCAATCTCCAAGGAGATCAAGTTGTGTAGGAGACAAATTGTGGTTTCTAGAAAAATGAATGTGCAAGTACAGCAAAGCCATTTCTCTGCTTTGGTACTCCCTCTGCTACACAAAAAGCAACTGCTTACCAGTGGGATAAGGCACCATGGCTGAGTGCTCTCTGAATACAGCCTATAGGACCACTAAGGATAGTGAACTGGCTCTCTCCTTATAACAAAGTTATCTGTTATTTACCATGGAATTTCATTTCAGGATGTATGGCTCACATGATATAAACAGCCATGGCCCCAATCCAGGAGAGCACTTCAATGAGATTAACTTTTAATCGTGCGAGTAGCCCTGTTGAAATCAGCGGGATTACTTACACGGGTAAAGCTCAGCATGTGCTTAAGTGCTTTGCTGGATCAGGACCTACAGCAGTAAATACCTCACTGTCTCCTGCCTGGGAACCAGACGGGGACGTATGACCACGTGCCTGCCGACAGCAAGTATTATAATTCAGTATATTTGGGCATCTGTGTGTGAGAAGCAAAGATCATTCACGCTGTCTTCCTGCATTGCGTGGCACACCCAGAGCATCATTCTGCCATAAGCTGTTTAGATTTTAGTGGGGTAAAAAGGAGCATGCACCTTTCCATTTTGATGAGAAGAAAGAAGGCATTTCATCATTTACTGTGTTTCTTGAAGATTATGCTACAGATGAAAAGCAGCAACTTTTCTGTGATAATTCACCAGGCATTGATGGCCTAGCCTGAAATGACTGTGTGTTTGGAATGCAGAGGATAGTTCCCTGGGCATTAAATTAGGTCCCATCTACTTTTAGCAAGCAGGAAATACATGGCAGATAATTTCTGAGATGGATTGCGTGTATGTGTATGTATATAAGGGGGAAAATGAGAGTTATTTGCAACTAAAAATTACTGTGAAACAGAAAGGAATGTACAAGCTGACAAATTACTTCCCAAAGCCATCAAATGTTGCTGTGCTGTGAATTGGTAGGTCAAGGCTGTGCTGCCTCCACCCTCCAGTCCCTCAGCTCCTTCATGATTTTGAAATGAAATGGAATAGACATTACAAGGGGTTCTTTTGCATTACCCTTTCCCTTTCTTGGATCCTGTGCCCTGACACGCATTTACATGAGCAGAGGACCCAAACAACTATAATTTAGAAAGTCCTTAGCCATCTTACAGGAGAGAAGATGAAAAAACACCATCTCTGCATGAAAGGCTGGACTACATGATGAAGTTGGCAGCATGTAACTATTTAATGCTTGTTGGCTGGCTGTGGATACACTCTGATTCCCTTTCACTGAGCCAGCATGGTTTACCTCTTGTTTGCTGTGAAGCTGGATAAATCTGTTGCCTTTGAACCTTCTTTTCAGGATGGGCTAAAGCTGCTCGCGTTTGGCTCCTGTGCCTCAGCTCATGGACAGCAGCTTGTTAGCCCTGCCCCATTATGGTGTGGTGGAATATACCAGAAACTTGTGAATGCACAACAACCCAGTATAAGTAACTTAACACTGATGGAACTGTGCACAGTATGCTGAACACATTTAACTAACCTAGTGCATTAACCGAACCACTTAGCCAAAATCCAGTGTGTCAAGATGTGCATCCAACATTGTAACACCTGGGGAAGCAGAAAGGCTTCAGTTTTTCAGACAATGCCTATTTAAAAATATGAAAGGGGAGAAAAGCTCACTCATAGAAGGGAAAATAAAGAATTACTTCATTCATCCCATGCACAGACCTATTAATTGCCCTCTGCTCTCACTAGCAACCAATTTGATTAATTCCCATGCATAACTCCAGTTTTATTTTTCTTTCTCCTGTTCCTCAGCTGATGTAAATCAATGTGACTCTACTGAAACCAATTTGCTACACATCAGTTCAGGCTCTGTCCCACTTTCTCTTTTATCCAATAACTCTGTTTTAATCTAAGTGTACTGTGTGCATTTGAGTCATAGATTGGATAAGAAAGTTGGATTCAGATTTATTTTGGTAATTTCAGGCTCAGATAAATCACTAATGAAAAATTAAACTTCATCTATCATAGCCATATAACTTGTCTCCATAGGCCTGTGTAAGAGATGGAGCTTATAAAGATTTTAAATTTGGACACAGATGATACTCAGACAGGTGAACATAGGATAAGAACGAAGGCAAAGCCAAACTATGCAAAATGTCATGCTGGGCACTGTGCCTTCGATGTGGTTTCAGGCTGGCATGAATCTGCATGACCTCACAGCATTTTATGGAGCTCCACTGACCCAAACCACATTTTTTGTCCTCTTCCCTTAGGACAAGCTCTGTACTGGCACCTGAGCTTCGTTTTCAGAAATCGCCTTTGACCACTACCCTTCCCACAGAAACTTATGAAGGAATAGAGGCAAATTTTGCAGAGCAATCATGAACACTAGGCCAGACAGTCCTCTCTGTCGCTGTTTGCTCCCGCACAAGGACAAATAACACTCCATGTTTCTTTGCAGATAGACCTACCAGCCAACGTAACCAGCACCCAAGGAGTGGAGCAGCACAAAGCTGCTGGGACAGTGCTGCGAATCCACCACTGACTATCCCCAGAGATTAAAATTAGCAGAATCTAGCCCTAGATTTTGTCCAGACTTTGCTTTCCTTCTTAGCCTGAGACAGTCTGGCCAGAAGAGGGTGAAGCCCCAAGAGGACTATACCTCAGTTCCCTTCCTTTCTCTCCTGTCTGTTTGCACACACCCCAGGTTCTGGGGATCCTGCCACAAGTGCAGCAGCCATTTTCCTTTTGAGAAAATACTTGCAAATGCATTTTGTTTCTGGCAGTCCCCCAGTCTCTGAATTCCTTTCCTGGATTCATTCCAGGAAGTTGTTCTGGCAAATAATTTACAGTATCTCCATGGCTCTTCTGAAGCGAACAGACCTGAGGGTTTTGCCATACTCCTTCTGCTCTCAAATGTTTTTGCCCAGAATCCCAGAAGTCAGCAGTTTTATAGGATTAATAGCAACAGGAAAATTTCCCTGGTAGCCCAGTGTGAGGATGCCGGGGATCTTAAGGCATCCCTACCTTTTCCCTCCCAGCCCACATGAGCAGCTGTGTTCATGTCACCACCGCTCCTGTGCTCGCAACTTTTCCCCATCTCTTTTCTTCAGGTATGTCTCCGCTATGACCACACCAGCTCGCATGTCACCTGTTGATTTCCACACTCCAACTTCTCCCAAGTCGCCCCCCTCCAAAATGTCACCACCGGCTTCCAGCTTGACCATCTCCATCCCTTCAGTGGCGGTGAGTCCCTTCATAGAAGAGGAGCGACCGCTGCTCCTAGTGACCCCACCACGGCTACGTGAGAAGTATGACCACCACCTTCAACAGTTCAACTCCTTCCACCACAATCCTGCCCATGAGAGCAACAGCCTGCCACCAAGTCCTCTGCGCATAGTGGAGGATGAGGAGTATGAAACCACACAGGAGTATGAACCAGCACAGGAGCCTCCAAAGAAACTTGCCACCAGCCGGAGGGTCAAAAGAACAAAGCCCAATGGCCACATTTCCAGCAGGGTGGAAGTGGACTCTGACACAAGCTCTGAGAGCAGCAGCTCTGAGACCGAAACCGAAGATGAAAGAATAGGCGAGGAGACACCATTCCTGAGCATACCGAACCCCATGGCAACCAGTCTGGAGCCGGCCGCTGCCTACCGGCTGGTTGACAGCAGGACTAACCCGGCGAATCGCTTCTCCACACCGGAAGAGTTGCAAGCAAGGTTGTCCAGTGTGATAGCTAACCAAGACCCTATTGCTGTATAAAACATAAAAAAACATAGATTCACATGTAAAACTTTATTTTATATAATGAAGTATTCCACCTTTAAATTAAACAATTTATTTTATTTTAGCAATTCCGCTGATAGAAAACAGGAGAGGAAAAAAAACTTTTATAAATTAAATATACGTATGTACAAATGTGTTATGTGCCATATGTAGCAATTTTTTACAGTATTTCAAAAATGGGGAGAGATATCAATGGTGCCTTTATGTTATGTTACGTTGAGAGCAAGTTTTGTACAGTTACAATGATTGCTGTCTCATAGTATTTTGCAAAACCTTCTAGCCCTCAGTTGTCCTGGCTTTTTTGTGCACTGTGTTATAATGACTGGATATATGATTTGCGAGAACTGCAGAAGTCCCTCTGGTTGCTTGTTGTAGAATCCCCAGATCAAAAAGCCCTGTAATGGCACTCCCATCCTACACACCGCACCAAAACCCCCCCTCACACACACACAGAGAAAAAAAAAAGAAAAAAAGAAAAAAAGCTGAAAAAAACCAACAAAAAATATTTTCTTCTCTAACAAGTTTTATTTGCTTTCTGTATATGAAATGAATTTTGTCTGCTCTCTGCCATCCAAAAGGTTTGCTTCTTTGAGCACTGGGATAATAGTAGATCAAACAGCATGCTACTATTAATTACATCAGGATAACAAAAAAAAAAAACAAAAAAAAACCAAAAAAAAGCCAACCTGCATTAAATAATATTACTTATAGAAAGAAAGTAATACTGTGATTTTAAATCAAATATGTTATTAATCAGAGGTCAGCTTGTAATCACTAGGAGCTGCCATTTCATTATTTTCCAGATATTAATTGTTCTAGTTATCCCTTAGAAAATGGGTTTAGGTTAGCTGAGGCTTTGAACCCAATACTCTATTTTAAAAAAGGTTAAAAAAAATAAAAAAATAAAAATTAAAAAAAAAATATTAGTTTAAGTTAATGGGGCAAATATAATAGCAGATATCTGTAACCAAACAAGAAAGAGATCTAGCTGGAAAACAAATGCCACTAATAAAAGTGCAATCAGCTTTCACCTCTATTTTTTAATGTTGATTTATAATAGATCATTTATCCTTTTGTTTGCCCTCAATTTTCTCCCCTTTCTTCTCTTCCTCAGAAGGAACCTTGACAAGCTTCTAGCAATACCTTGTTAGAGTTGCTGTTGGAGTAAGCATTACTCTTGGTCACAGAAATTACTTTCAGGGAAAAACTGATCTGCTGAATGGTTAAAAAGTATAGGCAAGTAGGAAATAGGAAGGAAGCAGTGGAATTATGGTGTTAATTTCTATTCGCCTTTATCAACTCCGTTATTTGGGGTGAGAGAGGCAAGACTGCTGCAAAACCCATTGTTGAAGGCAAGCACTCCATGTGGGTTACAGCCATAGCGTGCATGGCTCTTTGATATCAATGTTTAATAGCCAGTGATGGCCTTGAAGTCTCTGCCTGGTAATGAACAAGGATGCTGTCAGTGCTGGAGCAGTTGCATCCATTCAGACAAAAGCAAATGGCCTCTTTTGCACTGAATTCCTATCAGTTTAGTCAGGGTCATTCTGCCTCTTCACTTCTTTTCATTTCTGTTGTGTGTTCAGTTGGCACAGCATAGACTCAGGATTGATGTGGAAAACAAATGTTTTTCCTAGACTCCGGGGATTCTGAAAATGAGAACATGTGTTCTACAGGTATTACTGGACTCTAAATAAGAGCCATGTCAAGAGAAAAAGAATTTCAGCCAAACTACACTCATACTTTGGGCCACATCCTGGTCCTAGTTAAATAAAGATAAATAAGTCAAGGAAATTTTGTGAGATGTAAACCCGAGGAACTAAAGTCCTTACTCAGAAAATTGTTCAAGCATATGCTTAGGCTAATCCCAGCAAAAGTTATCTTCAGCATGTGCTAGACTCCCATTGATGCATCCAGCGCATGTGTAAAGTTTATCATGCACTTAAGAGTTTTTCTGAACAAGGTGTCCTATTGATTTGAAACCTGAAAGCAAAGTCTAGTAGACAAAGCTGTTTATCAGGATAATGAAAAACAGTGAGTTGCTCACTGTATAAATCAACCACATCACATTAGTAAGAACATGGGTGACTCTACCTGACCACACCAGATTCAACAGAAAAAGAACAAAAAAGTCTTAGTATAGGAAGAAAATGTCAATAAAGTTGTACACTAGAATATTGGTGGTAGAAGCAAAAGGCTAGGAAACTAGCACAGCTGTGGGCTACATGGTGGCTGAAATAGCACTGCTTACTTGAGAAGTCTGTGGGAGATGGCAAAGTTTGTCAAATACATACTGTCTGGACTTACATGCCCTTTCCCCTATTTTTCCTGTGCTAGCATGTACTTGAACACACTTTGCCTTTGCAGACCAAAACAAAAGCTCTCTACAAATTCTAGATACCATACACTCATTTTCATCCCTTTAGTCATGCCTATTTATCTGCAATCCTATGCAGCAGAACATCCACCTCCCCAGTAACTCTGCAACTCAGTAGTACAGAGGGCGAGGTGGGCTTTCCTGATGCAGATCACTAGCTTCCAAAGGAACACTGTTGAGTTTCCAGAGGCACTTGAAAATCTGTCCTTTCAGTAAGGTCTCTGATGCTGCAGATATCTTACAGGTCAGACAAGACAGAAAAAGGGTGGCAGAGGAACAAGAGATTTGCCCCCAAATCACCCATCTTAGTGTCAGAATATAGATTATAAAACAGGTTTTCTGTAATCTCCTCCAGTATAGATCACCCAGAAGACCAGCTCTCATTGAAGTATCTGTGATAGCCCAGACAGATTTCACGATGGAAAGGGAACGTGCATTGAAGTGGATTAAATTTTTTTACTACTATTGCTGTTATTATAGAGGGTCAGTATAAAACGAAGGAGCAATTGCATGCATGGGAGCTGTACATGTGAGATTTATTCAATGTGGGTCTTGGGGAAAATGTCACACCTCTTCTGTTGCAGTGCCTCAAAGTCAAAGTGATGTGCAGTCCCTGCTCCTCCTCACCCTGGTACATACAGTAATGTTTTATAGGGTAAGCATGAAATTAGGCTGGGGACTTCACATGGACCTAAGAACAAGAAAATACAATTGGGGATATGGCTGCCTAAGCCCTTAGGTCTTTGGGGAGAACCCAGTCTTACAGCACAATTCATGCAACAGCTGGTTGTGGGAGTTGCCCTGGCTTGGCACTCACAGAAGTGGAAGTAGGATGCAGCCCCTCACCTCTGGACTTGCTTTTAGCACACTGTGAGGGTGTTCTGCATCAGTCAAGTCCACACCCCAAAGTTAGCAAGTCTACCTGGCCATGGGTTCTGCTGGCAAGCTGCAGCTAGCTCCTGCTGGCCAAGGGGCTGGAGACTGCAGCAGCATGGAGCAGAGCCAGAAAGTGCCTACAGGAAAGGACAGCTCCCCTGTTGGGGATATTTGCTTCATTACCCAGACCTCTGAGCTAGGCAGTCCCAACACCCTTGGGCCATCACTGTGTAACCCTTGCCAACCTTTGCCAACAGCAAGTCATGGCAAGGAGAAACATTCTTTGCAGAGGGGGGGAAATATTCCAGTAGTGGCAGAGTTGTTCAGATTGTCCTGGTTTCCTTACATGTCATTTAACTTGAGCTGTGAGTTTTTCCTCTGTGTATATGCAGGAATTTTTCCAGGATAAAAGGCTTGCTTCAGGGGTGTATAGCTGGAATATGTTGTGCACAACCTGGTATGCAGCCTGCCTGTTCAGCTGGTGTAAATCATTACAGCTCCAAAGAGATTCTCATGTAACAGAGAAAAACTGACCCCCTCCTCTTGGCCCTGCTATTGCCTTCCTTACTTGAGCCACCCCAACACCGCAGGTTTAAGAGATCAATCACTGCCTTTATCAGGGAAACAGGAAAGCTCCTCCTCTTTCCAGTCCTCCAAAACAACAATGCTACATTTCCCTGTTTCTCTCACACACATTGCAAGCAGTTTCCTGAGCATCCAGGATAGCAAACTTGTGTCCCCTCAAAGGAAAAGCTTCTCAGCCTATTGATCACTTCTTGGCCCTGCAGTATGGCTACTTATCATCAGCTGGGACTTACTGCTAGTAAGAAACAAAAAAAGCACCAATTAAATGCTGCAGAGAAGGGCAGACAAAGAACATGGCCAATTATCATCATTTGTAATTCTCTATTCTATTGTAAATACATCTTGTACATACTTGGATGTTTTCATCATTTACTGTCGTTATGGATTATGTGTTAAATGAGACTCTTAGTTTATTGTGTAACACTGTAAATAACATAACGTCCTTTATTATTTATGCATAGGAATCTAACACGCGGAGAAAGTTATCCTCATATTATTTTAAGATATATGTCAAAAATATGATGCATTTTTCTTTTTGCTTTGAAAAAAATGTAATATATCCTCTTTTTCCCCTCTTTTCCTTTAAAAGAAAAATGAATGCTAATTTATTGTTCAGGAGAGAAAGGGGATGTAAATGAAAGGCAAACTGTTCAAAGAACATGCTATGGAAGCCACAAGCTACTGATAAACTAAAGAATTTATTATCCCAAATACAGCAATAAGTAATTGTTGATTTATTAAGGTTTTGTTGTTCATTTTCAGTAAAAGAGGTGCTGGATTAAATTGTTTATGTGTTGTACTGGCCCAGCTGCTGAGCAGACTGTGTCAGGTCACTAGCCACCATCTTTCTGGATCCAAACGTTGTTTTAAAGGTCTTGTTCTGTCTGTGAGCCACTGTTCCCTGAGTTTTCTTGCCCCTATGGAGGTCTCTGGCAGACACTCTCGCTCCTACATATAACATTTTTAGTTTCTTAAATTATAATTAGTAGCTTTACCCTGACCATTACTACTCAAGATGGACGGGGGGTTGAGGCAGGGGGCAGAAATTACACAGTCATGGGTCTTCAAGAGCCTGCTCTACAAAAATGTCACCTCACTGCATAGTAACAGTCAATAAAGCAAATCAGATACTAGGAATTATTCGATGACAATGCCATGCCACTGTATAAATTAATGATGTGTGCAGCTCTTAAATACAATGAATGGTCCTGGTCTTCTTGTCTCATAATAGAAATAGTATAATGGGGAAGGGTTTGGAGGGCAACACAAGTGAACAAATATCTGGAGCCAGTGGGGTCCAGGGGCACTGAGAAGGCTGGGTCTCATCAGTCTGAAAGAAAGGAGAGCTGAGGGGAGATATCACAAAGGTCTATGGAATTATCTGGTAGAAGGTAGGAAAGAATTGGCTGTTCAATACCTCTTCCAACACAAGAAATTGATTTATCCATCAAAACTACTGGGCACCATATTAATAAAGATATGGCTTTTCATGAGAGGCGTAGGGAACTTGGAGAACTCCTTGCTGCAAGAGGTTGTGGATCATAAAATTTTCCATCGGTTCAAGGGGGATCCAAATCTTAGACAGTAATCCAATGAGAATTACTAAATCCATGGAAGCCACATCAGATGTGGGAAATATCTGAACTGAAAACATGTGCAGGTTGTATAAGGTGGAAATATTGTGTATAGTTGCGCTGCTTTAACCTTCCTCCACCTATCTGCCACTCTTGAAGGGAGAGCAGAGCAGATATCTGATCTAGCTGTCCTTACATGTTATTAGTATGTAAAGTCATTTGCTATTGACAAGCATTAAATAAGAGGAGGAGAGCTAGGAGTGAGCAAAGGATGGAGGAATGTAGCAAAGAGATCTTGGATACATTTCACATCCATTTGTTTCCAAGTCTGGTGGAAACATGTAGGTCAGATTCCTTCCACTTACCTACAGGTACTGAATGAGATGCCAAACTGAGGAGGGATGGAGGAATGGAAGGATGGGGGAAAGGCGGAATGGAAGGATAGAAGAATGGAAGGATGGAGGAATGGAGGGACAGAGAGAGGAAAGAAGGGAAGGAAAGAAGGAAGGAATGGACAAGTGTGGGATTTCAGTCACCCTCCCTCCCCCATTCTCAACATGGAGAGTGAAGACCTGGCAGGTCAGTAGACCTCAGGACAGGTTCACTTCCCCTCTGACAACTTCCCTGTCTTGCCATTGCATGTAGAGGGATCCTGTAGCCAGGAGTCTGGATGCTGTGGCTGTTTGGCTCACCTGAAAGTCTTATCTGGGCAGGGCCTTGTCACTTCAGAGCAAGCCGAAGCCAGCATCCCATTGCACAGTGCTACTATTGAGGAAAGGACGGTTCTCCTCTTATCTTCCATTGAAGGCTGCTGAAACAGGAATGGCTTGCTCTGAGAAGCCAGTCCCCTCCTCACGCATCCCCACTGGCCTTTCTTGGGTGAGA